TTGCCATACCAACAAAATATGGTTAAATTACTTGATATTGACGCATTTGTATGGGAAAGACAACAGACGTGCTGTTAACAATAAAATGGCGTTATGTTCACTGTTTGTGTCATCAATTTGATTAAGATTTCATTGCACTGCTTGTAGATTGGCTGATGACGATCAGCTGCTATGATGTAATGAACTGATAAAGGTATATCCGATATATGTTCTACTTGATTACTACATACAATTAATTCCTCCAATTGTAACATATATTATAACATTTGTTCACAGCATATATGACAAAGCTAGTTCAAATGCAATGATGCAAAGATCGAAGATTATTCTAATCATGGAGGACAACTTATCTGACGAAAAACGAGAGGAATTCAGCAAAGATATTCGTGAATACGAAAATCCCTATGCAGAAGAATATAGCGTCGACGAGATAGAGAGAGAAGATGTAATAGAGGTTACATTCAAAGAAAAGGTATGGTGAAATTGGAAAGATATTTAAATATTTTTTACCAACAACCTTTAAAATATATTCAAAAATATGTCAGAGAGTGTGCTCATTTATTCTTTTCCTGGTATAGCTATATTGAATGGATACCACAACAGTTAATGACTGGAACGACCAATAGTAACTGGAAAACCAATTCTAGAACACACCTTACAGATTGGGTAAGCACCGTTTATGCTATATCAAAGTTATATTCTCGGTTATATACTAAAGACACGATATTTCTCTTTCAAGGGGAGAAAGAAGACACTCTATTTATTGGACTTGAATGACTTGAAAAATAAATTGAAACGAACAGTCAAGTGTACATGGTGGGTATATAACAGCTATTATTATACATGGAATTGTAGTATTTAGATTATACTAAATTTGTTTGCTGTGAACAAATGATCATAACAATATAAAGGCAAAAAAACCATTTGGTCATCATATCAATAATTATACGATATTTCTCTCAAGTGAAAACCACGATGCTGAATCTTCTGGAACATCGGACGATGAGATCAAAGATCTAGTTGAAAAGTATAATAGAACATCTGCACGAAAGAGAAGCTGGTGAAAAGACCTTTTCCGGGAATCTAATTTTCCACGTACATCGAGGGGTATTACGTCTATAACAAATTAATGCATTCTAATCAATTTGGCGTCTAAAAATAGCAATAGTGTTTTCGTGTATGTTTGAAAAGTAATGTTTTACTGTGTGAATACTCACATATTTGTCAGAATAAACAAGTGAGCTATATCAATTCTGAACATTGTAAAAAAATACTTACATGTTTAAATAAATGTGATGTTTAATACTCAAGTTAGACATTGTTTCTTTCTTGTAAAATTACAGTTGTTTTGCAATAGAGCTTTTTCGATAATTATACATAGCTCAATCATATGATCGATTCCGCCCATGTCGTTGACATTGCTATTTGCTGTTGCCGTCTATTAATAAGTATTTTATTTGGATTTGGTATTAATTAACTACCACACATGTAATCTCACTTGTCAATTGAAGAAGCATTATGTGTACGCCGACCTCTACTATGTCAACGTCAAGTTATCGTTTTATGTCCAAAGGTATAGGTCGATGTATATAATAACATTTCACCTGAACTAATCACCTGTCTTCAGTAGTTGTAATTTGATTATAATAAAGCTATTTAACTATATGTTATACGAGGTGTAAGTTCAAATCGTTACACCCACATATTGTTAGAACAAGTGAAGTATCTCACTAAATGTTAGTCAATGTGTGTATTTGGCGTTTGGCACAGGAATAGCAAATATGTGATATACACTTATAATTACCCATTCTATGCAAGAAAAGTTGGCCAGTTAGGAAGCCGGTGTCCTTTAGGTACATCGATATTCATGTTAAATACGAGCCGTGTTCAATAAGTAATGTCCCTGACCCATTTCACATAGCAGGAGATTAATAAAACTAGGCACAGTTATAAGTCATTCTCTACATAGGAACCCCCCAGTGTTATTCATTTCTCCCATTGTTTAATGCAGCTCTGGACACCGTTTTTGTAGAACACCCCCAGGTTGGTCCTCCAACCATGTCAGAAGTCAAGGCTGCATCATCTGGGAAACGCTTTCCTTTCAAAGATGAAAGTCAGCGGGTGCAAGGTCAGGAAAGTAAGAGGAATGGGGGTGGATTTCATAGCCACACGCCCATGCTTCTGATCTGGTGACATGCGAGTTGTGAACCGGAGTGTTGTCCTGAAGGAGGAGGATACCTTTGCTGATCTTGCCCCGCCTCTTGATTTTGATAGCTTCTCTTAATTTTATCAAAAGTGAAACGTAAGAGGCTCCTGTAATTGTAGTACCCTTTGCCAGGAAATCTGTCATCACTACACTGTCCTGGTCCTAGAAGACTGTGAGCATGTCCTTGCCCACGGAGGGCTGCACCCTTGCCTACTTTGGAAATGGTAATTCCAAGTGCGTCCACCGCATTGACTGGGCTTTGATCTCATAGTGATGGACCCAAGTTTCATCCTGTGTAATCAGTCTTCTTGGCACATCTCCAAATTCATCCTCGAGCATTGGACGTGTTCTTGCATCTGGAAAGGTGTGAAAAATCCGAACAAAAGGCATATTCACGTACAAATAAATCTGAAATGACCAACAGTCGGCAATTTTGAATTGAATTACAAGCACGGATAACATATTGTGAGTAACTGTAGTCAAATTTGACTATAATCGAAGCATGTGATTTGTGACACCGAATGCGTACAAATGCTAGGGGTGACTCGCAAAATCGAACCAATATCCTCGGTAAAATATGATCCTATATTTGACGACTCATCTGTTACGCAAAACATTTCACTATGTGGCCTATTTATAAGTGATCACTACGCACCTCAACAACTTGATCACAGCATTGTTTAATTTCAACACGTATATCCAAATTGCGTATTGGTGATTGTGCAGATTTATTTAGTTTGAGACCAAATTAACATTTTTTTAAACACATAACCTGTCATACAGGTATGTATGTCTAGATTAAAATTTCCCAATAATCTACGAAGCAATCCATAAACTCCACGACCAACAGCACATGTGCATATTAACCAGGAAATCAACATGACCATGGAATTTTGATTAATCACAATACCAAAAAAACACTTTTGAAGATGATGCGATATCCGCGGCTGTAATAAGTACTACATACACTAGTATCACCTATTTTCAGTTAACAAACATCCACTTTTGCCCTTTCTACAAAGAGATTCTTCTCTGTATATTACATTACATATCAATATATTGTGGTATCCACGTACTATGTTTTTAAAAGAAATACCAGGTACAAGTTGCAAAAGTTATATAAGTTATTCAATTTCTACATTATAGGGGAAATGAGTAAAAGTAACGACAACTACATAAATAACACCTTAAATCAGTTACTGTTTTATTAAAGACCAAACAACAATGTACAAATACAGATCGTACAAATTCACTACGAATTCGATGTTGTGCTAAAAGATTTATGAAAGATTTTGCAATAAAACAGAACATAATTATACAGATACAACAAATTGTTTAAATGTTCCCAGTAATTATAATATTTAAGCAAAACCACTTCTATTATATCAGCTATATATAGTAGATGGTGAAAAATACGTCAAATTTGATGATACTAAATACTTATATTTTAAATGGTTAGATTTGACTGAACTCACTAAATAATGTGATAATATAACAAGCAAAGCTAACAGCGAGCTATTGTAGGCAACAATTCTTAACAACTGCAATTAAATGACAATTTTTGTATCATTACAACAAGCGTAGATTTTTCCACCTCGTATATCTTAATACTTATTACATTGTGCATTGTGGCTTTCGACTAAATCTAAACATAAACACATGGCATACAAACGTAAAGCTAGGGCCAAAGATAATTGAATTAACTATGTTGAACAATATAATCCAGTTTTTATAAAGGACATTGTATTATCTGACACGTAATAGTTTCTTGACTGTCTTCTCTTCTCCAAAGATCGTTTGTTATTTTCTGCACCCATTCAATTTCTTCGTTATTGACTTAGACTATTCAGTACTTCCAGACAGGTATTTCTCGTTGTCGACGATTTCAGAAGATACCATTTATTTTCTTGTCCCTTGAATGGAAGGAAATGTAAAGATTCAGGTGCAATATTTGGATACAGTGAAGTATTCCATTAAAAAATATTATTTTTGCATAATTTGCTTTTAAAGTATCCAAACGAATAATTTATTTCTCTACACTTGGGGCACGTGTTAATCAAGTAGTGTTCTTATTTGGATTTCCACTGTCTGTCATTTGATTGACTACCTTTTATTATCCATTCGGTCTAGCTATTTCAGGCAGAATCTTAAATGGTCATGCTATTTTACATGTTTTGTTTTAATATATTGAAGGACATAGCGGATGTTGGTACATGAATGAATGAAAACCATTTACAGTCTCCAGCTACCTGTCTGTATCAACAGATGTAAAGCTCATTGGTAGCTTCACATTTGTGTCTTTCAAGGATAAATTTAAAGACATTTGCAATTTGTAACCTTCATTGCAGTCTTAAAATATAACTTTGCGCACATTGCAGGGCACTTGATGAACCCATAGTTACGAAAAGCAATTGTTTGGCAAGAGGCGGAACAGTTTATAATCTCTTAGAATTGAATTTGTATAATTTCCCAATCAATCGTTGCCATATACTATTATATGTTAATCTACATTTCTGAAGTAAATATGTATGTCTTTGCGTTGTAAATTGCAACTGGGTAGTTTATGGCTCAGCAATGCGCATTGCACACAAGTGACATTGAAATGAAACATTTAAAATAGTATTTTTTAACAGTGCTATTTGAACAGAAAAGGGATTTTCACTGTCAATATTGTTTAGTTAACATTCACCATGTTAAGATTGAATATAAGTGATTCACCAACTTAATTGAATTATTTTATTGACATTAAGTGACTCGCGGGAAATTGCTTTTTTGCTAATTTCTAACATTTGTGTTACTCAAATGTCAGTATAAACCATATACAAACTACCTCTTCTTTGTATGTAATCTGTATCATATCTTCTTTTCCATCCCCGTTGACGCTATAGTCTTCGGCATGAGCACATTCTTTACGAAGGTGTTTTCTTTCTTTATCAGTTAATTTCTCCTCGAAGCCAAGAATAATTTTGGATCGTTGTATCATTGCATTGGATTTACCATTGTCATACATGCTGGAAAACAAAATAACGTATATGGTCGCTCAAATAAAAACTGGACATAACATATGAATTGTTTGTTGAAATCACCAATGCCTGATCACCTTAACTGATATCTATTAAAATAAAACTATTCTATATCAGTTATACTTTACGCAGTCTCGTACATTGGTGTTGCTGTGCGTTTGAATATATTCGGGATTTATACCTGATTTCAATAGCAAACACGATTATTGTTAGGGTACTGTCATGATTTATTTCCATGTGTTTAGAGATCCGTCACTTATCCGATTTGATGACTGGTTTCATGTGAAGTGCTGGTTTATATCCTTCAACACTTTCCCCATAACCTGTCATCATTTTGGTGTATACGAGGTCCTGGACGGAACTTGAGTCAGTGAATGGAACTAATTACGATATGAACTTTGCTAACCGACCGTTATTTCTGACAGTTTGGTAAGTGTAGTCTTTTGATATAGCGGACAATTAATCAAGTATATATGACGTGTTAAGTACTTCGTGTGATTGGCTACATGCGAGTTGATTTTTTTTAAAGCTACGCCTTAAGCTTTTAAATTTCCTTGTGATAGGTTAAAGTTTGGGAAGTAAATAAATAGAGTCTGGGTCAGTCTTGAGAGTGCTCCACGAGCGAGAGAGTCTTGGGAAACTTTTCCCCGAGGCATTCTGTCTTGGAGAGTTCTAGACGGGCGACTAAGTCTAGAGAAGTTGACACGATCTCGATCTGTGTGTGTGTCTTTGTTCAGTCGAAAAGGTTCTGAACGTAACGTTCACTGGTACCTGGCGTAGGTTTAATAACACGACAATTAAGCCATCATAGTACTCTGGAATCACTCATATATCAGTAAATCATATACAAACAACGATATCCACACTATATCAGCACTGATTCATTTCCAAGTCATCAGGCTAGATACTCCTATGTGTCATCCATTCCAATTACATCTCTATGCCTATGAACTTTTGATCATTTAATTTAAAAAAAGTAAAGTTCTTCCAGCATGGTTGTTGCTTATGTATCCCATAAGTACTAGACCAAATTGACCGAATTTCGATACAGCAGGACGATATAATATAATTCCTGTTTATGCACTACACTCAAACACGTAATTACATAGCCCTACCAAATAATCTACATTTAAATGTATTCAGATTAGTACTGTCCTTTCCAATCATGGCGCTTTCTTACCTGGAAAATCTGTAACTCAACATTGCAATGAATATACTCAGATATATTACCGCTGCAATTAAAAGGTATAATCCAACCATGATATCCGCCATAACACGGTTCGCATCTCTCAGTCCCTGTGATAAATGATCAATATACTTTAAAAAATAGGCAATTCTAAGTAGCTAGCGTTATTAGACATTCGATTTCAGCATTTATAAATCAGAAGTAATATACAATGGCATAAATATCAAGTCGATATGGTGTCCAACTATCAGAGAATGGAGTCAGCTATAAAATGGAAATAACATACTAACCATAGGTTCTATACAAATAACACACTACTGCTAGATGAGTTTTTTCCTAGTGCAGTATGTGGTACACACATATAAGATTAATAATTATACTAATGATGATTGTAGACAAAATAAATATCGTACCTCATAATTATAGTCATCCACTAGTGCCATACGGAATAGAGTGAACATTGTAGCAATAACTGACTCGTAAAATGGGATACCACCAAATATCATCCAAAACGCACACGCTAGGAAAGTGGATTTAAAAATTTATAATATTTAATTGTAGAAGGCAATTTAAAGAATCTAGAATACTATTTGCATATTTATTTCCTGCGTCTGGTTGTGGTGAAATGGCTACAAAAAGTGGATAGTATACAGATTTCAAGTTTATCAAAAATGTGTTTTCCGTTTATGTATCTACGTTTTACCTCACATGGCGAAATAAAACATAAAATATTACAAGTTTTGTAAAAATGTTGCTTAGTAGTTTAGTAGTTAGTAGTAAAAGTAGAATTCCCAGATTCAGTTTTAGTCGAATTTCATTGAAAAATAATGAATACTAATAGTTTGAATGGACGCATTTAAATTCTTTTTATTGTTGCCTTATAATGGTGTTAATCGATGACACTAAATATACACTCATTTTTTCTAAAGACATCGTATTTAGAATTTCTAAAAACTAGTAAGACTTGTTCTGCGTTATTCAATTAAAAAATAATTACGAGTGCTACTGAACTACTTACTAAATGGTAAATAAAACATTAAAGCCAAGATTAGGAATTTTCCCGCATCTCCAAGTACAATATAAACCACAAGAATAAAAGGACCTGCAATTGGAAGCAGAGTGTTGAATTTCAATGGTTAAAGCACATATTGTTTCAAAATAAAAGTATCCAGTATAAGTGCTTACTATAAGGATGTTATAAGGTACCCACAAAATTACACATTCACATATTATTCTGCTCCGATTAATCATTGATTCTGGAAGAGTTGAAAGAGCTAATCCCAAAACCATCGATATGTCATTTCTGCAATCACGAAAAAAAGTACTGAAGATGATAACTATTCCATCATTAGAGGTAAGATGACACGTACACACCGTGTCATGTAACTGCGTATATATACCCAAACTTACCAAAGTGATAGTATTTGAATGAATGTGAAAATAGTTTCGAATATATAGTTTGAAACTTACCCAAATGCGTGAATGCTCTGATTGATTTGTACAATCGAAACCAGACAAAAATAATTGTGAATGCAAACCATCCTAAATGTATCTTCCCTGCCAAGCTTTCATTCTCCCAGTGGTCTGCATCATCTTCGTATTGAGTTGTATCATTTGATCGTGGATGACATAGTTCATCCGATGCAATACCGATATCTATCAAATGAGTTAAAACCACCACCGTCAGGAGAAAATACACAAACCAGTCGTAGTAATTCCTGGAAAAAAGATGAATAATAATAATGATTAAGTTTGACTTTGGTGATTCTGTTTCAAATTATTTGGCATGAACAAAAAATGAACTTCGCCATTGCCAATATTAATCACGTTATTCTTTAATAGGTAGGAAGCTGAATAGTCGACACGCGCAACAATGAATAATAATTTCTAATATTTTTGTATAAACTTATATACTGTTATTGATAAACAATACGTTTCAGAGGCATATCTTGCTACGCTATAGCACACTGTCTAAATAATAGCAAATAAATAACCTGGAGTTCATGCCAAACAGCAGGAAACAATTCTTTGATGAAAGTTATAATACATGCACATTAAGAACTTGAGATAAGGCAAATGCCCCTCGCCAATGTAAGCAGTTTAATGTTTATTTTCACCCCAAATTATTCCCAAATATGCTGTTAATTATTACTATGATCAAAAATGTAAATGTTTAAAAATGTGAATTGATGTGACAGGAAGGTGTTTTCCATAACATTTTAATATATGGTCAACCTACCAATTATCATAAAAGTTCAACCTACTAATAGCCATAAAAGTTCAACCTACCAATAGCCATAAAAGTTCAACCTACCAATAGCCATAAAAGTTTGATGGTCGCCCTTCCCAGGAATTGCGTTTGCACTCTACTTTTTCCTCATACTTTTCAGCACTCTTCCTTATACACTTTAGCAATTTGGTCAAATTCTGTAATTGAATCAAAACACAAATTATAACAAAAAGAATAACAAAATAACATACATGGCAATTTTGAAACATTGGAGAGCTGCCAATTGTTTTTTTGTTGTTTCTGAGCGAGATGTATGTAATACAATGATATACTGGATAATTGGCCTAATCAGCATAAAGTTAATCGCCATAATGACAAGGAACCACTTCCACTGCCAATAGTTATTTAGATCCATCATAAAATCACCTTTCTTTTTTCCCTTGATTCCTTATATTCCCGGTATTCTTGAACAATGAACCAAATTGTGCACAAAATAGCCATGACCTAAAATAGAATTACAATAAAAGATGTAAAAGATGAATTCATTTTTATAAAATCGGATAAACAAAGCCAATAGAAACGATATTGTTGTATTTTTTCATCCAACAATACAGTCGATATATTATACAGTCAAAGTGCATTTACGGCTATGTTCCATTTGACATTGTTATTAATATAGCTAGTTTCCTACCCATAGAAGCACACGCAACAAGTCGAGCGGAAACTCATAACATCCACGGGCATGAGGCTTCACCACAGCTAGCATCGACCACAGCACAACAAATAATAAGTTCCATAGTAAATCTTTTTTTGCAGCCCATCTTAAAAAAATAATACAATAAATATTCTAATAATTCTTCTGTTCTAAACGGAAAATGATCTATTCATTTAACCCCCCCCCCCCAAAAAAGACATGTAAAAACTACCATGGCAGAACAACATAATTTTCATCGTCAAATGTTTGCAGGTGACTACTCTGTGTGTATACTGTGATTATATGTCTTCACCGAAAATCGGTTCAGACCTCCCAGTTCAATTGCTCAACAGTAAACAATAAATCGATAAATTGATTGACAACAAAATGTGTAATAAAGCAGCGGTTTCATTGGTGATTTTATCCGAGAAACCTATTGAAATTTGTACCAAATATACATCCAATACACGAAGAACATCTTTAATTATTGTAGAATTCCATAATGTATAGCAAACAAACTCTATGGTCTAAAAATTATCTAAAATTTATCTACAAAACATTATTTTATTTATCACACAAATATATGCTTTTCTGCACATTAGTAATTATTTAATTTCCTTATTTTACTGGTGAAATACAATTTCAATTTAAATTTTAATATATATATGTTGAAAATTTGAATTCAAATTATAGTATTACCTTGCAAACTTTTGCCACTTGATTTCAATAGATTTTCGAAAAACGGGATGATCAATGACTTCTAAAAGGGTATTATCAACAACAGCTTGCAACTGCAAAAATAATACACTGCATAAACATAATAATAGCATAAACCACTGATTTAAATATTCTATGAATATAGCTACAAATCTAGATTTGACAACACATGTAGTTGCCAATTGCCTCTAATGTGTCATACGTAATTCACATTAAATTTAATGAGTGGAAACTAATATGTAAACGAAATCTTACCGGGCTTCTTGTATATGGCGTCTCAGCTGAAAATAAATGTTATTCTACATAAACACACTGATAACAATACATTTCATAGTAAAATGCTTTACTTTAAAATGATATATATAGTCATGAGTGCCTGACAATTACAGTTTCTGCTTGGATAATACATTCATTTTTTTGTTTGTTAATTGGTATATCCATAGCAACCACTGACATACTAATCAACCCGTACCCATCAACGTGGGTACAATAGCATATTCGCCCTAGTCGATCATTGCTGCTTGCAGCTATATTCATCTCCTTGATAAGTTTAGCTTGATGGTGTGTTTAGTATTTAATATATAAACAATTTAACAATGCAAATGCTAATCATGCTGTATAGAAAATGTATTTGACAGAAATCGAATGTGTTTCTCTACATAATCACCTACCATTGGTTTCTCCTTTTTCCAATATTTTCAAATCATATGTCTGCTTTCCTTCAAGAGAATCTTTTTCATGCAGTCGATCTAATGCTAGACTTGCCTGCATACAAAGTATGGAAATTCTTAGAAATACATAGTACGCGACTAGGTAATGTCCTATCAGTTGGGATATGAAACTAAGGATTCACGTGACAAACAAATGCGAACACATAACGTATACACAATGTAGTTCAATCTGCAAACAATATCGATCACTTATAATGTGATTGATATATTGTTTGTTAAAATACGAACAGAAAAGGCTAATTTCTTTCACCGTAAGGCCAAATGTTACAGTGTGCCGAATTGTTGTGGTATTGTACTGTTTTTTTCTTTCTATCATATTAGGAACTTCCAATTATGGAGCAATTACGCGTGTGAGCGTTCTTTATTAGTACAACCAAATATGGCAGCGCCCAGGCTTGACTGAACTACACACACAGAAGTTCGCTAAATCTGTTCTAAACCTTTTAGATGTCGGCATTTCCATGAAGTATCATGGAAGGAAGGTTATCACGAGGATACCGCAAAGTGTGCACTCAGACATCACGCCGTCGCATTGCCCTCCGCTGCGCGTCGGTCGATACCATCGCTGTACTGTCTTCGTGCATACTTTTCGATATCCTCTTAATAACCTCATAATATTAATATTAATATTATAATCCTTACCACATTTGTCATTTTTGCGTCCAACATAAAAATAAAACAAGACTCGCCGTGTTTTTCTGTAACTGTTACTTGTGCACCTTCACGTAGAAGCAGCATACAAGCCTTATTCTGTTCTAAAAAATATAGTACGACTTATGTGGTATATTAGAACAGTATCCGTTGTTTTTGAAACTATTTGATAAATAAGTAAATAAGTTGAATCACAGTTACGAGATATATTGGATTCTAAACGTCTACATACTGTTAAGAGCTGCAAGCATCAACGGCGTTCTACCATCTGCATCTTTTCCATCGATATTTTCGGTTGCCAACGATCTTTTTATTTCGTCGCAGTCACCATTAAATGCTGCATAATGAAGTTGCGTCGTTTCTGATTCTGGACCTCTACGTGTTACTATGTATCAACGGAGGGAGTGGAGAATTACTACAGTTTCAACTGTTACATGGGCTATATTAAGATCAACTTGTTATAGATGGTGGAAATTTAAATTGGAACAAAATGAGTGAAGGATCCTAAACTTTCGAATTATACTTTATGTTAATAGCACAATATAATTTTTGAATGACTGCTAAACAGTGATTTGATTCAATTGCCAATTTTTCTAATTATCACAATCAATAATAAATTGGGATATACACGTTGTGCGTAGGCGATCTCGTACTAGAAAATGTCCCGGTTATGCCTCCGTGTTTTAGCGTGGTACCATTTGTAATACTGTTCAAATGCAGATGTTCAACATTCTATAACATATATTAGGATAGCATAGTACTCACCCAGATCAGCAGCATCGATTTCTTCATCTGGTAATTGAGTTTCATTTTCTGTAGTTGGCTTATTTCCAGACCGTTTACATGTGCCGGTGGGCAGACGATTTCCCATGTTGTTTGCAATGAATCTAGCAAATAAACATTTTATTTGTGCATATATTGTACTTGATTGTATTAGTATTCATCAATCTCATTAAAAAATAAAATAAACCATTTGATAAGTCGCGCCCTTGTGACGTAACTGGAAAATATTAGTTGATAAGAACTCCCAATGAATATATGTATAATTTATATTGTATGAACCTTAATATATGCTTCTTGACTAGTTAATATGGATGCAGTGGTACTCGATACTCGTTAAACTTAGTATGACCTAAACTATGTGTATGGTCTGTACAATTACTTACTTCTGGATGGCTACTGTGTATATTGTCATTGTTGATGGGTGAACCCATAAACCTCGTCACATAATCAATGTTGACCTCCAAAAAATGTTTTAATAATGTATAATATAAGGCTGAATTTGTGGCCGAGAAGATCGTACAGCGAAGATATTGTTCAAGACGCGACGTTAAATATCAAAACATAAGGGGGAATTCCAATTGCAATGCAAAATTGAACTTTACGTTCACAGAACAGATGAATAGTTCTATAAATACCAAAGAACCTTGCTGAATAGGAATGTCGACTGCTATTACGAGAGGTTGCCATGCGTGCCTCAAAACGCAGGTTGGTGAAAAGAAGTTAGAAAAAAATCGTGTGACCTTGTTACACATTGACCTCCATGATCTGTTATATTGATATGGAAGATAGGTATATTAGTAATGATAAGGGAACACAGTACTAAACCGGATTGACTGACTCTGTTATTGTGAGTTGAGTAAACACACTTATGTTAATGTCTGACATTTACAGCAACAAGGTTGACTAGGTGCAAACTATTTGCTAACATTTTTCATTTTACAAGTCCTAAAAATAATTATATAACATCACAGTTCATTGCTTGCGCTTTCGACGCAACGTTGATAGAGTTGTAGCTTGAAGTGTTAAACAGGCAGATCTGTTTCTGGGTGAAACACACACATACTTTTGATTTACTACCGGGACGATGCGAGGTTAAAACACATGAACATTTCTAGATCGTTTATACTCGGAATGTTACAATACGTAGCAATGACCAAACCACAGCAAATGTACTCACTGATGTTTTTAACACAATGATTCTAAATCGTAAGTCATAAATTGTCCTCATACTAATAATATTATGTGCAGTCAATTCTACCCACCCGACAAACTGTCTGTAAATCAGTTGGCGACTATTCTGGTTCTATACGAGTATAACTTCGTGAGGTGCATAATGTTCAGTGGAACTTTAACTAGTTGTACTATGATGTGGCAGCTGTACTATGGCACAGACAAGTGTGTTTAGATAGACATGTTATTCTGTTGTCATAGTGATCGCTATCACACTTCCTGATTGGTTTCAAGAGCATACTAAGGTACGAGTTATTATATATGCGTGTGATGTAAACAAGTGATAATTCATATTATGCATCTGAGGTTCCACCAACCTACCACAGCAGACCAGATCAAACAACTGAAACGCAACATTTTTCTGCTCTTCAAGATCGATATCGCCTGTAATTATTGAGCATATAATAAAATAATGGGATGAGTTATGTTCTATGTGAATACTTTTAACCAGAGGGGGGGGGGGGGGGTAATCATCAAACTACACGACTACGTGGGTCAGGTCCACCTTGTACGAAACCAGGGCCAATAAATTGTATTTCGCACGATATACCATGATTTGTTGACGGTCGCATACCGACGTAAAGTGCTTCTATTTTTTTCATCAAAGTAATTGTATTACTTGTTGTGTATCACGGTTTCATTAAATTGTTCATTTAACCAGGAATGTGTGATTATATTTTGTTTTATGTAGGCCGAGTGTCTGAATGCAGTGCGCAGTCAGTCAAACAGTCACGCGTAGCTCGTAAAATGTGACTTTTGGAAGGGATTATGGAATATAAACACATACGAACCATAGTTTATTGATCTAATATAATAGGACGTGTATTGTGAATGCGCCGTCCTATCTCAAGCTTCAAAGATAGACAGTGTACATGCATATTCATTTATTCATCCAAACTTTAGTTTGTTGCCATAGCAATACTTATATCACTTCCCGTATTATCGAAAATCGTATGATATTTGCACTCGATTACACAGTTGAATGCAGTCGATTAGTGAAAGAAAGAACAGTGACATCACAGTAAAATAGGACTGTAGAAAAGCACATATGAGGTATGATTTTATATTATTTTATATTCTGATCAGGTGCCATGTTAGCACGATTCCTAGTTAGAAAGTTAAGCGTCCTGTAGAAATCGTATGCCCTTGTCTATCCGTTTATTGTACAATATATGAAAATCATCGTCGCAAATAGCCGAATAATAGTAGGGCCAGACTGTTTCTCGAGTTTTTATGAGGCAGAAAAAAATAAAATTAATTCTTTTTTTCCTTTAGATTTGTATGATTCTCAAAGAATTGTAAGTGGGATCATTGATCGGAGAAAAGAAATGAAATAAAATGTTATTCTATGTATAACCTTGTTTCTCATCTGCGCGAGACTTCGGTACTTTGATCATGATACTCCAACGAAAATGCAACTTGGGTTTGTTATGCGTATCTAACTCGACTTATTCCAATGACAAGCATTTGATTCTTACTCTGAATAAAACGAATCTGTATACAAATTTACTCAAAGAGAAACAGGATCTTCCAACAAGGTTATCATTTAATGTCATTTAAAGGTAAACAATTCACTTATAGTATCTGCCATACCTATTGTTAATGGTATAACCTGTCTTAGGCCACACTGATTTAATTTTATGGATGACATCCTCTGGAGACCCCAAAACTAATGCGAGAGGGCGAAAAAAAAAATCCTGCCAAAAAAAAAAAATCCTGCTAAAAGCACAGGACTACGGAGCTGCTATTACGAATTGGACCACAGAACACAATGTATCAAAGAACAACAAGAAGTCTTTATTTGTAGGAGGTACATGTTGATATACACATCTCGTACTGTATTACTGTCACAGGTATAACCATTTCAGACAAGCTCTAGTACATGTAGTCATGATGAAGTACAGTAGAACGTCGATTATCCGAAATGTCCGGTTATCCGAACCTACTGTGTGTCCCCCAAAGTTTGTATGCAGGTCTGGCTGTGTTCCGTATAGTAATACAAAAGTCAACTGTGAACAATAAATACTACAGTCGCCTTGTGTGATTTCCTGGTGCAACACTTTCAATAAAGCTGTTATCAACATGTAATCCGACGTCTTTCACGTGTACGTTCATTGTTTACAGTGTCTGCGCAAACAATGAAACGAATTACAGTATCCAATAATTTCCTAAATTCAGACAAGCCTATTACGTCACACCAGTGTTCCACTGTAAATAAAAAATGTCCTAAAAACACAAACTTCATCAAATGTCTTCTCCACTGTTTACAGTCAGATCCTTAACTTTACCAAGTTGTAAGTCACCGCAGTTCGGATACGTTTCCCGGGAAAATTGTACGGTGTTCCACTGCCGTCAAAGAAACGCGGCTATGAGCCGATCCCATGTTTTTTTCCGATTTTTAATTTTAATGTCCAGTATGAGAAGTCACATCCTCTTCGGAATAAAAAAAGAAAGAAAATAACTTCTGGGATGTCTTGCCACAGAAGCGACGCCAGTTTAATAGTGCAGTGAAAAAGAGAGGCGAAACGACAACCCTTTGGTGTGCCTCTTTGATGGTTTATCAGCAGACAACGGCAACCAATGACCACAGTCGGCGGGCCGTTTGATGGTTCACAGCGTCGAAGTGTTTACGTCCGATGATCACAGTAGCCAACAATTTATTATGTCAATCGTTCTAGGTGTTAAAAACTTTGCTGAATCCAATAAAATCGGGACATCTTGTAGCAGTTTACCATTCGAAAATCCCAGAGCAATCTGGTAACATCGAGCCGCTAGCCGATCTATACGAAGCGACCTTTCACCTGTTTACTTTATCAGCGTCTTTTATCTAGCGTTGGCGTGGCTACCCCCAGTGAAATGCAAACGCTGTGTACTTGATTTGGACGCAAAGTTGTCAATTATAAATCGACTAGAACGTGGCGAAACCGCAAGCAATCTATCTACCGAGTATGGTGTTGGTAAATCGATGATATCCGATATCAAGGCAAAACAAAAGCTGCTGGATTTTTTCAGTAAAATGGATTCAAGTGCAGGACTGAAACGAAAGATAACGAAAACAGCCTATGACGATCATTCAGAGAAATCCGTCTTCACTTGGTTCCGGGACTTGGTTTTCCCAAGAACTTTATTATCGCTACATTTTACGGACATTTTGAAACACTTTTTAACATTCCAGCATGCAACATTTTTATTACAATATATTACTGATTAAATAAAAATGTTTTTAATGACGTACTCTACATGTATTATTGTTTGATTTCATTACAGGCATGTGCGTTAGAATTTGTGTGTAGTGAGCCTGTAAACTTGAGCACGCCCACACAAGATCGCATATCCGAACTGTTTGCATAACCGAACAAAAAGCATGTCCCCCTAACAGTTCGGATAATCGACGTTCTACTGTACCTTCAGTCAAAAACACTGCATGCAAGGTACAACATGGACATCATTTTCAGTACAAGTCAAGGCGGAATGTACATATCACTACTTTATGACAATAACTAACAAAACATTGCAATGATACAGAAATGTCCTTGCTTGCTCCTCTCTACACAGTAGGGGTTAGCTTTAACCAATCTCTCGTATAGCTGTGTAAACGTCATATCTCCCTGGCCGACGTCAATTGCGTACCAGTCTACAACAATCCCTCAGTTTTTCCTCTGAACTGTTATGCTCACGTATTCCTGGCAACGCAATACGCATGTGCAGAAGATCATTTACGACAAAATTGGCACGTTTTTAGATAGTCCAAAAAGAGTTTTACGACAAGCCGGTGCTTTGCGACAATATGAGTCGGCAAGTTCCGGACAGAAAACCGATCTGTAGAGACTCGTCGTTGGAGA